GAATGTATATTCTGATTGTCGATAGGGCAAGCATGTATTTGCCATGGAGATCAACGAACCCACTTTTCTTCGATTCGAGTTTGTTTTGAAATATCGGAAATTCTCGCATGAGTCGTCGTTTAAGGCGATCTCAAGACTGAGTGCGAAATTTTTTTATAAATATAGTAGCCTAGTTTCGCTTAGAATCCCGTTTGGGACGCTGATTAGATTCGGGCGACGTCAAAATCGCCATCCAGTCGGGATGCGATGACCTTCTTGTCGGTAGGGAGGAGGGAAATTTACTGACCTCGTGCGGCCTACTCATGATTATGGGAAAAATTGCACTATCACCTTACGCGACCGAGAGTGCCCAAGCTTTTATTCGACGATTGCTTACTCGTACCGAATGGGGAAATCTGCTTTGGACAGGGTCCCCAGTAGGGGCATAATTTAGAGGGACTCCTGGTTTGCCAGTGCAAAAACAACACAGCCCACGGGTGGGTCTTTATCTCACTTGGCGTTCTCCACTATTTGAAGTTGTCGCATACCATTCAACTGAGAACGACTGTATGCAGCTTTTCTGATAAATTCCGTTGTTGAGTTTCGAAAGAGCGCATTGGCGCGAAAGCAGTTCTTCGACCCTCGAAATGGCTTAACGCCGAACGAAGGGAGCTCTCAAACCTGCCACGGACAATAAATTGCTCGAGTCAACCCCACTAAAGTGTCGTTCTTTATTTTGTTTGTTATACATCACCTTGCCTTGTCCCAGTAACTAAGTCTAAGCGTCAATTCAATTAAAATAAGGCTGGTCTCAGAGTCGTACTTTTGTAGTGCTCTTTGCTGACGATCCTTTTATGTCTTACACGTAAATCATCACTCATCATCATCAATAGCTAGCAGAAAAATGTTGTCAGAATTGAGCACAACTACCACAAGCACGATTAGTCAATCAGGCCAAGAAGTGAATCGAGAGAGTTTAGAAGAATACTAGGCTGAATCAATTGCATCGTATTTCTGACTTTACAGTATCATTCAATGCACTGGGAATGGGATTGTCTACAAGTTACTCGAAAGACTGCAGAAGGCTGCCGCTACCTGTCACCTTGCCGACCTCTCAAGTTGACTCTGTGAGCCAGTGCAATTTCCCCGTCGAAGTGGAGCCTAAGACATACTTTTGTGACTGAATTTGCCGATCAGGTTCCTGTGCCTATTCAAGAAATGAATACTAAAGCCCATACAAAAGGAGCTAAAGACCGTCTGGCTCGAGACCCATTCTAGATGCCCCAACGAAGCAAGGGGCGGCTCACTTACACGATGACGAGGTACCGGATGTGGACGTCCCCGTCGTTGAGGCCGAAGAGCCGGTCATTGGCAGGCCGGTCGAGGAGGCCGAGCTGGCCAGACCGGAGGAGGTTGTCAGGGCTAGGGAGCCGGAGTTTGTCGTGCTAGACAGGCTGGTTTCCCCACTTCTGCCCGAGACTGTCGCGCCGGCGACTGTGTGACTAGAGAGACCTGAAAACGAACTGGCCGGCCACACGGCCTTTGGCCCGGCCCCGGCCACAGCCAAGGCGGCCGAAAAGCCGGAGACGGGAAAACGAGTCGCGGCGGGTGTGATCAGAGGAAGCAGAGGAGGACCTCCGACTCCGGGCTCCGAGGTGGAGGCCGGAGGTGAGGGCGAAGGTGACCCGGCGAGGCCGGAGATACGCTTGCTGGCCAGAGAGTAAGAGGTCACGGCCTGGAGACTGGCATCGTGGGCCAGCTCCAAATCGATGGAGCGCAGAAGAACAGCACGGGCGGCAGATGAGCAGGCCTGACGTGCCTCGGAGGAGAGGTTATTCCAGCTGCTATCTGGGCTGCTCAGGTAAGAGGCAAACAGGGAGTGTGAGACGGAGGCTTAGGCAAATAGTCGGCGGTGAGACGAAAACGCAACAGAGCTCATAAACAAAACGGTGATCACCGGCAGTGGAAGGAAAAGAAGCCGTTTGATTTGGTCATGAAACCTTTCAATCAGAAACTAATGAGAAAAATTCAAAAGTTAACTTTATCTTAAACATAAGCGATGTATCCACCCCAGGTCGTAGAGAGTGGTGAGGTACTGATGGTGTCATTTTTCCCACATTTGGCTGAGTAGGCCTCACGACGCAATTGAATTTCCCTTTGTCTTCACAAAAGGTATTGCCATTCAGGGCGGACTGAAGCTTCAAACTCGTCTGGGTCTCACCAGCACTCGTAGTGGAAGTGAACCTGACACAATGCCATGACTAATAGTCCCTCATTCCCTTAAATGAAATACACCTTGGATATATATGATCTAATAGCAGATTCGTAGCATGCTTATCTGCAAAAATAAGTAATGTTATTGCTCGTAATAGCGTGTGCCAATTTGCTTCATCAACAATCCCACCAGAGAAATTGATATGCCAAAAAGCCTGACCCCAAAAACTCTCGTGACTGTGTGGCGTAGCGGTTATCGTGTCAAAATTATTCACTGCACTACCACACTCAGGGTTCGAGTTCCGCTGTGGGTATTGATAAGACTCGGGCAAGCTGAAACTGCAGTCCATTTTTTGAAAAGCAAGGCTAAGTGAGATTCAATGGAAACATAAAGCCTACTCATAGCATTGTGGGAAAATTCAGTGAGCAGTCCTTTCCACTTTAAACGAAATAGGATGAATACATCTCATACTATTTCGTAATATCTGGAATAGGATAAAATTAGCTTTTGGAGACGAACATGATTTTTGAGCTGGATCGGTCAACTTCAAGATTGAATTGCTATTGTTCTTGCTAACTCTAATAACCCAATAATGAAGTTTCAGTAAATATATCTTTTTTGCGGACGCTTATTACGAGTTCACATAGTTTAGAACGAAGATGAATCGCCTCACCTACAATCTTCGTTCAGACAAAACCGAACAGAAATGAACAGAAACAAGTATCATAAGGGATGAGCCGAGTAGCTATGTTAGCACCAAATGCGGATTGGATACATTACACGATTTGGAAGTCTATAATCACTAAGAGATCTAAGGCTCTATAGGCTACCAAGGTTGATTGAGTAAGCAGCTGCAATCCATCAAATTCCAGCACTAAATTTTTGCAAAAAAAAATTCATCTGAAAGAGATATCCATAATTATGATGGTGTTAAAAAAAGCCTTATCTAAAAATGTGTATTCGGATAAGGGTGTTTTTCAGTATGCCAACAATGTCAAGAATAACCAGGATCTGCATGTCTCCCTAAAAGATTTTCTACTCAAACATTAACCAGTGCACAATAATTAGTGCTTATTTTGGCTGGTCTAATCATAGCAACTTGCGAGGGCAAAGGGAAGTATAGTGCAGTAATAAAAAGGCCCGTATCTTTTGCAGCTGATTACTTGGTTCTCGCAGCTTCAAACAATCGGATTGTGTAGACTTAGTAAGAAGCATTCGTGGTTGCTCCATAGGTTACATGTGATTGTGGCAAGCACAGGGCTGACATAATCATTCAGCTGGGCCTTTTCCACCACGGTATTTCGTTAAAAGTGATCATTTGCGAGAGTGCAATCACCATGCGCTTGGTTGAAGTGGACCATTGTATCGTCTCGGAAGAGGGATTTCAACGGACTCTGGCTAATGATACTGAGGAGTAAAAGCCGAGTCTGTGCACAGAAAACAATTCAGACTAACCTCACGTATCCTCAACGTCAGCACCATTAGCATACCCAAGAATATCTAGCACGAATTCGCGATATAGGACTTACTCTTTTTTTAAAAGTAGCCTTAACATCATCCATCATAAAACGGGCTTTTAAACTATAAGGATTAATCGAAGGTATAAAGACCAAGATGGTGTAGCCTTTCGTGTGGTCGCAGTCTCCGTTGGTTGTATAGAAGTTGTTTGACCTTGTTTTCGCAACTTAGTCATATTGGTAGGAAGACTTAGAGGAACGCACCTTGTCCTGAGTCCATTGTCTGCATGATACTTTCCAAAGTCGGACCATGGACGTGGTACATTCCCAGACTTTTCGCCAACATGGTCAGTGAGTTTTGCCATTCGTAGCACCATATTGCAACTCGTCAAAGAGACAAGTGAAGCCGATCCTTCGACCAAATGTGTGCCAAACAGTTGTGGTATCTCCCCTTCTGCCCTGGCCTATTCCCATTTCCTATATCCTTGTATCACGACTTCACTGTTACAATTTTACCGTGCTTATTTCGATGTAGTGAATAGATCAGGGCAGAAGAAAAGATACCACAAATGTTTGGCACATATTTAGCCAAAGGATCGGCTTCACTTGTCTCTTTGACTAATTGAGGTGTGGTGCTAAGAATGGCAAGACTCACTGACGATGTCGATTACGATGCCAGTCATGCATACAATGGACTCCAGACAACCTACGTCATGCATCATATACTTATTACACCGAATCGTCCACTGAATCCGAACCTTGGGATTACGGTCTTGGAGAAGACCACGTTAAGCTACACTCAGTTACATGAAGAACCTGATTTTCAGGACAAATTAGGCCTGACATAAAGTTAGTGGGAAAATCTGTGCTGATAGGCATAGGTGTGTGGCCATTAAATCCGAGCCTGATTTTTGATAATAAATTTGGGATGCAAGTAAATATAACAATCAGTTACTGACAGTTTATATGATAAACTCGACTTTAACTTATGAGAGCGAATTCAGAAGCGCTTACCAATTTATAATAATATATGCGTATATGAACGGGACTCCACATATTTAACACGACGATCTAATTATAGAGAGATCTGAATCTGAAGAGATTAAAAGCTATTGATAAGAATTGCAACACAATCGCTCATAAAGAGAAAAGAAAGATAGAAAATGGCATTTTTATATCACAACTATTGTAACATTCTGAGTTGGTCCGGTCCATTTGTATTATCTTAGAGCGATACGATTTCGGAGCTCGTTTATAAAAAGTAAAAGGGCTATTACAAAAAGCGGGGAGGAGATGCAAGAAGGTTAAAAAGGATCTAAGTAGTCCAAACATTTTCCTCGTCAAGCATTGTATCAGACCAGAGTCGCATGCTATTGTGTCATGTAGCGTACAGTGTAAATGATCAGCCAAGATCTGGCGTGGTCTTTGAGTGGGATTTACCGATGAATCTTGTCGCTGTCCACCCATACTCGAAGTGAAAATTGGTTATATGAAAAAGTTTCAGTTCATCTTCTAAGATCAAATACTGATTAGGTAACAGCTAAGTAAATCGAAAAGTGGTATAATTACTGAGGTACCAAATGGAAATAAGGTTTAAAAGATTAACTGCGAAGCCGTTTTTGCAATCACTACATTTAAATCATGGAGTAAGAGTTAGTAGAAGTTGTGACATCTGTTAAAACTCGATATATAAATTAGCAGATGCTGGATTATGGATTAATAAATCTGACTTCGACAAGGTTGTCAACATCGTTTCATTAGCAATGAGATTCACAAAATACTCATCTAACAGTTAAAACTAAGAGTACATTTGAATTGCCAATCTATCTACCACCCATTTTCTCATTACAATCTTAAGTGAAGTTCAATTGAACTCGAAGCAAGTAAATATACTTTTCCGTGTTGGCTCGACCTTGTTTTCGCAACTTGGTCGAAGCGTCAGGGAGACCTTGTTGAACGTATCTAGTCCCGTCTCCTTTGCCACGGTATTCGTGATTTTCAGCATTCGACCATTGGCTGGGTAAATTCTCAAATTTTTCGCCGGCATCGTAGTCGGTCAATGGCCCAATGGTGGAAATCAAAAATACTATGGCAGAGGACACGGGACTAG